TCCCTTGCCTGATGATGAGGGGAGAAAACTTACATTATCTTCAGAAGGGGAAATATTTCCTTTCTGGGTGTTCACACTGTTGCCTCAGCAGAGAATAGAACAGATAAGCATAACAAACATTTAGCAGGGGACATTGCTCATTTTCTTGCCATGCCAAGATTCACCTGCTGATTTCTGGTCAGCTGGCAACCATAGTTATGAAGGGGGTCTGTTCACGGGGCAAAATGGGTCTGCAGCCCCCTGGAGCCTTTGTGAACTCATGCAAACAGGGCTTCCAGTGTGGCTGCCCCTGTTCTGTGGGGATACAACAGGCACCCACTGTCTGCGCTTTCTGGAAACAACTGAAGAGTGGCTGGGGCAGGGTACTACTACTACAACTAATTCTGTTCTGACAAGCTTTCCTAGCTGGACGAATGGGTCACTGCCATGGGCATCCTTTGGTAGCGCTCTCTCTCTCTAAGTCAGTGTGGTGTATTGGTTAGCGTTAGAGTGTCAGACTAGGATTTGAGAGACCAGGGTTCAAATCCCTACTCGGCCATGAAGCTCACTGGGTGACCTTGGGCCAGTTGCTGCCTCTCAGCCAAACCTACCTCACAGGGGTATTGTGGGGATTAAATGAGGAGGAGGAAATCATGTCTTCTGCCTTGAGCCCCATGGAGAAAGAGCAGGAAAAGAAGAGCAACGCACACACATTTCTGTTGTTTTTTGTGTTCTTTTTATCATTTTTATTGTACATCACCTTGAGATGCATTGTGGAAGGCGATTAATAAGAAAATTATCATAATACATACTACTATGATGACTAATTATTATCATTAATTATTAGTATTTTGCATGCTTAATGTCACATCTTAATTTGGCCCTCAGGCAAAACCTGGCCATTCATTGCATGTGTAGAACTTCTGTTTCTGTTTTTATTGTGTAAATCACTTTGAGACATCTGAGTGCAAAAATGTGACTAATAAATAATGATAATTATACATTACAATGATGTCACAATAATGCAGGAAATCTGTGCCTTTCCCATTTCTATACCCTCTTTTTCCATGCCTTCCTATATATACCTAAATATGCAAGGTTGTCGTTATACAGCCCTTTCAGGAGGATTTCTAATGCCTCATTACGATCCTAGCTTAGCATGAAGAAATACAGTTGGGAAGGCGAAAAGTGAGCTTAATAGTTGCATGGTGTTTGTGTGTGTGTGTGTATAATAAAAATGGGCAGCTGGAGCCACCAGTTCCCCAAAATCCTTGAACCACCACTTGTTTTGGCTACTAACACTATCAAAATGTCTCCAAAACATTTGGAGGCAGAGGGTCTTATATCAGCAGGATGTTCCTAGAAGCAGCAGAAAACACTGTAAACGCTTTGACCATTGTTGTAGCTGCACTTCTTTTCTGAAGTCAAAGCTTCCTTGCCGAAATCTCCATCCCTTTTTGTGGCTCCGACAACACGGTGCTAGAGAACCAACACCAGTCTGCCCAAACGCACAGAGGAAAGCGACCCCAGTCCATGGGAAGCTCTGAAGCCAAGAGGAAGACGGAGTGAAGGAGACAGCTCTGTTTCCTCTGGAGGGGTGGCGGTGATGTCACTTCCTCCCCATCAGTCCTAAGGAAGAACCTTCAGATCTCCCATTCCACAGCAAGGTAACCTGGGTGGCTGATGGGTGTTGTAGTTCAGAAGGTCCTGGAAGGGCACCATGTTGGGGGGAAAGGGGAGGAGCCCCTGTGTCTCCTTCCCAATGCCACTGCTGCCCCTGTCCACTGGCCAGGAGAAATTGGGCGCCCCTGGGGTCAAAACAGAAGCCATGATAGCTTTAGACATTCTGGAGCTTTCCTGGGAAAATTGGGACTGTTTAAGTGTATTCCCTTGCCAGAAACCCTGGGGAGCTGTTGCCAGTCAGTGTAGGAAATCCTGAGCAAGTTGGACCAATGGCCTGACTTGGCATAAAGTGGATTAGGTACTTTGTTCCTAAGAACAGGAGGCACTATGACAAAAGAGAAGTACTTGCCAGTTTCAAATTAACACCACTATCGATTTTAGAACAACCCTGCTGTGTTTCCTGACTTTGCAATGAAAAAGCTCCCATAATCTTCGCGCCAGCAATTGGTCTGTTTCCCTTTTCCTCCTCTTCAAAGATAAGGATTTCTTCTCAATAACATGGTCAGCTTTGAATACTCCCAGAGAAATGTAATCTCGGTCTTGCCTTTTGGCCCCTGGCCATCAGCTTAGCTCTTTAACTCCCTCTCCAAGCCTTTTTTTTAAAACTCTTTCTTGTGCCAAGGGGAGAGAGACCTTAGGATTCGTTTGCTGGATCAGGCCTAAAGGTTCCCCAGTTTTTGCCATAGGAAGCTGCCTTATACCAAGTCAGACCCTCGCTCTTTCTCAATATTATGGGTTTGAGTTTTTTGCTCTTTTTTTCTCCATGTATGTTGTGCTTTTGTATTATATTTTTCTGTTGTGAACCACCCTGAGATCTGTGGATGAAGGGCAGTATACAAATTTTAATAATAATAATAATAATAATAATAATAATACCACTGAGCTCTTGGATGTGATGCCATTGCACTCTGAGTTTCCCCACCCCTGAACGTAGCAGACCAATGAAAAGAGATGCAGGTGAGAAAACTCATAATGGAAAGACGTCCTGTCATGTACTCTGTTACTAAATACTACAGAGAAGAGGACATTTGGGGCTTCTCTTTCCGATGGTAGCAACACATCAGCCACAATGCCTTGCTTGGACTGCCCTAGGAAAAAAGTACCTAAGAGTATGAAGTTGCAATTATGTCCCTATATTCAGCTATGAAATATTGTGGGGCATGTGTGCAGTATTCTTATTTCCTTATTTCAGATCGGGAAGCAGAGTCTGAAAAAAGGGTGATTTTTTTTAAGACAGCAGGGGGAAAGGGGTACCAACCTTTCAGATTTTTGAGCAAGTGCCATGGGGGCCACACAGCTCTTATAACTTCCGCTATAATTTATCTGAGACACGAAAATCACATAGAGCTGAAAGAGGGAGAGGGAAAGAGGGCCACTTTCCCAACTTCCTCCTCTATGTACTTTTCAAGAAAGGAAAAGGTAGCCACCCTCAAGCAGGAAGTCAGTGTGTGAGTTTTGCTCAAACATGGGTGACAGAAAAGAATTCGGGGTGCCAGTGTGACCACTTGTGCCATGTTGGTGACTCTTGATTCAAGGTCACCTGGAGAGTCAGTGTGGTGTAGTGGTTAGGAGCGGTAGACTCGTAATCTGGTGAACTGGGTTCGCTTCCCCGCTCCTCCACATGCAGCTGTTGGGTGACCTTGGGCTAGTCACACTTCTTTGAAGTCTCTCAGCCCCACTCAACTCACAGAGTGTTTGTTGTGGGGCAGGAAGGGAAAGGAGAATGTTAGCCGCTTTGAGACTCCTTCGGGTAGTGATAAAGCGGGATATCAAATCCAAACTCTTCTTTTTCTACTGGAGGTGAAATTTGAACGGGGGACTTAACAGGCTCCCAATATGAATTGATGATGTTTTCTCAGTTTCCCTAGGACACCCTCTCATAAAACTGCAAGGACAGCCAAGCTTTTGGATCGTTAGTAATGCCACAGGGGAAAATGACGAGCTTAAACTGGGTGAGTTCATGGCAAGTAAAAATGACGATCACTTCACCTCTGAAGGATCTGTATCTGCATATAACGGGGACACTGAGAAGCACAGTAAGCTGAGATGTTATCAGTACTAAGTAATGTTTGTTGTGGTACGGTGTGAGCATGGTGTGATGTCCTTGAGCTCCAGAAGCTCAAAAATTAAACCTCAGCAGATGCAAGGCCTGCTTTCTCAAGGAAAGAAACAATATCAAACATCAATAGACCCTCCCAAAAAGGGTAAGAAAACAGGCAGATGGGGACTGGTTGAGGACAGGCTGAGACAGGTAGGGCAGTGTCCCTATTTGGCCTCATGGACCAGCCACCCCACATAATTCCACATAATGATTTGAACTCACAAGCCAAATCTTTGACTACAGGTGTCTAGCGTATTCCTGCTAATGCGCCATGACTGCTTAGCAGGTGATCCTTCAAATCTTTGCTCTTAAGGAGGAAGTGGGGGAAACTAAACACAGTGACTTCGGGACTAATAGAAGGTGTCTTTAATTTCCACAACAACCTAATAAAGCCAAAATATGTGTCTCAGACCCCAGGATGCTTCCTTTCCCCCATCACTCTTTTTACTACCCCACATCGTTGAAGCACCTGTCATGGTGAGCAAATAGGGCTTTGATCGCTTTTTGCCATGTTCAGACACCACAGGCCCACTGCACTCATCCATCATTTTATATACAGGTAGCTACAGCAGATAAATGAGGCTGTGGGGTGGATGTTTCTCTGGCAAAATAGTTAATAATAGATTTGATGCGTTTTCTCTTTTCCTACCGATCTTCTTCAGCTGCATGCGAAGCAAAGGTGTCAGAAAACCTTTTTTCAAAAAAAGAAGTCCTGAGCTGAAAAAGGATCAGGTGTGTTGTGGAAGAAAATAAGTTAAAGCAGTGCTTTTCCCTGGGGGTACGCATACCCCCTAAACATTTTATGAATCTTTGTACTTTTGTCCATTTACTGTGTTTATTTCTGCCCAATTTGAACTATAAAAATGGTGATTTTCTTAAGTCAAAATGAGAGTACCCCTAAACATATATTTTTTTTTTAGAAAAACAGCACTAAGTTAAAGCAACAGTTTTTGTTGAGTTGGAAAAGCTTCCGAAAAGGGCAACCAAAATAACCCCGCGGTTTTTAAGCAGCAGACAATGGAGATACAAAAAAGTTGCCCAAGGAGCACAACATAAAAATAATTAAAATTAGCCATAAATTCAGAAGACAGCCAGAAAAAAAACTACCACCACCAGTTGTTGTTGTTGGGGTCCCTGATTCAGCAAGATGCCTGCAATGCAAGGGTAAGTTAGGTGGCCCCGAGTCCCTTCCCTCTCCCTGGAAAACATTTCTTCCTTCTCATTTGGCTAGTCCAAGATGAGGGTGCCCCTTCTCCTGCTCTTGGCTTCTTCTCTGCATGCCACAAGACCACTGGGTGAAAAGGCCTTCCCAAAGAGAGAGGCGCGGAGGGTTTCATCATGCGTGCGATGCTGCGGGCCGGCTGAGCAGCCCAGCTCCATCACGGCTTCCCGCTACACTCGGATGACCAGCGACTCCGTCTATGCCATGCCCAGGATCCAGCCCACCATCAACATCACAATCTTGAAAGGTAAGCAGCCGTCCAAGATTAGTCCTTCTTCCCTGCAAGAGTCGCTTCACGTGGGCACATTTATCACTCAATGTCTGCAGCATCCAGCGATGAAGCTAGCGTGTGTGAATAGCATTCAGAAACCATAGATATTGATTATTTATTGATTTGCAACATACTTTTTTTAAAAAAAAAACCTGCTTTACAACACCCCCATCTCCCCACCAAAGGCTTATGAATGTCAATGATAAGACAGTCTTTGCCCTCCGTCTTATAACTGAAAAGACACAGCACAAAAGGAAAAAGGCTTTGGAGGGAGGAGGCGGAAAAAGCAAACCCAGGCTCTGTTTCTTAGTTACAGAGTTCTCATAATGACCAGTTGGAAAGGAAAAGAACTCAACCTCATTTTAAATGTACTCTTTTTTCAGTGGAACAAATTCACACATTCAGCTACAAACAATTTGGTGCTGACTAATCTGGTGATGGATGGACGTTCCTCTAGGGGCCGTCCTCATGACTTAGCTACCTTTACCTTCATCCCTTAATTCCGTCTCCCCGCTGAACAAAGTTTATGTATTTACCTGAAAGTATTTTCCTTAAGTTGCTTTTTAGGGCTTTGCCCTCACAAAGTGATACACAGCCAAGAGCAAGGGAAATTATCAAGATATAGTAGTAGAATCATAGAATAGAATCATAGAATCATAGAGTTGGAAGAGACCACAAGGGCCATCGAGTCCAACCCCCTGCCAAGCAGGAAACACCATCAGAGCACTCCTGACATATGGTCGTCAAGCCTCTGCTTAAAGACCTCCAAAGAAGGAGACTCCACCACACTCCTTGGCAGCAAATTCCACTGTCGAACAGCTCTTACTGTCAGGAAGTTCTTCCTAATGTTTAGGTGGAATCTTCTTTCTTGTAGTTTGGATCCATTGCTCCGTGTCCGCTTCTCCGGAGCAGCAGAAAACAACCTTTCTCCCTCCTCTATGTGACATCCTTTTATATATTTGAACATGGCTATCATATCACCCCTTAACCTCCTCTTCTCCAGGCTAAACATGCCCAGCTCTCTTAGCCGTTCCTCATAAGGCATCGTTTCCAGGCCTTTGACCATTTTGGTTGCCCTCCTCTGGACACGTTCCAGTTTGTCAATGTCTTTCTTGAACTGTGGTGCCCAGAACTGGACACAGTACTCCAGGTGAGGTCTGACCAGAGCAGAATACAGTGGCACTATTACTTCCCTTGATCTAGATGCTATACTCCTATTGATGCAGCCCAGAATTGCATTGGCTTTTTTAGCTGCCGCGTCACACTGTTGGCTCATGTCAAGTTTGTGGTCAACCAAGACTCCTAGATCCTTTTCACATGTACTGCTCTCAAGCCAGGTGTCCCCCATCTTGTATTTGTGCCTCTCATTTTTTTTGCCCAAGTGCAATACTTTACATTTCGCCCTGTTAAAATTCATCTTGTTTGTTTTGGCCCAGTTCTCTAATCTGTCAAGGTCGTTTTGAAGTGTGATCCTGTCCTCTGGGGTGTTAGCCACCCTCCCAATTTGGTGTCATCTGCAAATTTGATCAGGATGCCCTTGAGTCCATCATCCAAGTCGTTGATAAAGATGTTGAATAAGACCGGGCCCAAGACAGAACCCTGTGGCACCCCACTAGTCACTCTTCTCCAGGATGAAGAGGAACCATTGATGAGCACCCTTTGGGTTCGGTCAGTCAGCCAGTTACAAATCCACTGAGTGGTAGCATAGTCAAGACCACATTTTACCAGCTTCTTTACAAGAATATCATGAGGCACCTTGTCAAATGCCTTGCTGAAATCAAGGTAGGCTACATCCACTGCGTTCCCTTCATCTACCAGGCTTGTAATTCTGTCAAAAACGAGATCAGGTTAGTCTGACATGACTTATTTTTCAGAAATCCATGCTGACTATTGGTGATCACAGCATTCCTTTCTAGGTGCTCACAGACTGTTTGCTTAATGATCTGCTCCAGAATCTTCCCTGGTATTGATGTCAGACTGACTGGGCGGTAATTATTTGGGTCCTCTCTTTTCCCCTTTTTGAAAATAGGGACAACATTTGCCCTCCTCCAGTCTGCCGGGACTTCGCCTGTTCTCCAGGAATTCTCAAAGATGACTGCCAGTGGTTCTGAGATCACATCTGCCAGTTCTTTTAATACTCTTGGATGCAGTTCGTCTGGCCCTGGAGACTTGAATACATCTAAACTAGCCAAGTATTCTTCTACTATCTCCTTAGTTATTCTGGGCTGTGTTTCCTTTGCTGAATCATTTGCTCCAAATTCTTCAGGTCGGGCATTGTTTTCTTTATCGGAGAAGACTGAGGCAAAGAAGGCATTGAGGAGTTCAGCTCTTTCTGTGTCCCCTGTTTGCATTTCACCATCTTCTCCTCTGAGTGACCCCACTGTTTCTTTGTTCTTCCTTTTGCTACGGACATACCCATAAAAGCCTTTTTGTTGCTTTTAACCTCTCTAGCAAGCCTGAGTTCATTCTGTGCTTTAGCTTTTCTGACTTTGTGTCTACACGTGCTGGCTATTTGTTTGAATTCCTCTTTGGTGGTTTCCCCCTTTTCCATTTTTGTACACATCCTTGTTTAATCTTAACTCAGTTAGAAGTTCTTTAGATAGCCACCCTGGCTTCTTTAGGCACCTTCCATGTTTCTGTCTCATTGGTATTGCCTGACGTTGTGCTTTTACTATCTCCCTCTTAACAAACTCCCAGCCATCATGAACTCCCTTTCCTTTTAGTATTACTGTCCATGGGATCTCACCCAGCACTTCCCTAAGTTTTATGAAGTCAGCTTTCTTAAAGTCAAGAAATTGAGTCCTAGTATGCTTGGCTGCTCCTTTCCGCTGTATAGTAAACTTCAGAAGAGCATGATCACTCGCACCTAATGATCCTTCCACTTCTACCCCACTAACCAGGTCATCAACATTGGTTAGGACCAGATCTAAAATGGCTGTTCCTCTTGTTGCTTCTCCCACTTTCTGGACAATGAAGTTGTCTGCAAGGCCAGTGAGGAATCTGTTTGACCTTATGCTCTTGGCTGAGTTTGACATCCAACAAATATCCGGGTAATTGAAGTCCCCCATTACTACTATCTCCCTTCCTTTTGCATGCTTGGCCATCTGTTCCAGGAAGGCATCATCTATGTCCTCCGTTTGGCTTGGGGATCTATAGTAAACTCCCACAATGAGGTCACTGTTATTCTTCTCTCCCTTAATTTTGACCCAAATGCTCTCACTTTGGCTTTGAGGTTCTAAATCTTGGATCTCTTCACAGGTATACACATCCCTGACATATAACGCCACTCCTCCTCCTTTCTTGTCTGGTCTGTTTCTCTGAAATAGATTGTATCCCCCATTATTACATTCCAATCGTGGGACTTATCCCACCAGGTTTCAGTGATGCCTATTATGTCATATTTAGTTTGCTGTACCAAGAGCTCAAGCTCATCTTGTTTATTTCCCATGCTTTGCGCATTAGTGTACAGACATTGAAGTCCATTAATCATTCCCCGTGACTCTTATTTAAGGATTTTTCCTCCCACCACTAGGTCTGTGTGCTGTTTGCTCCATTTGGTCTATGACATTTGGATGATCATCTTCATCAATTGATAGACTCCTACCTTCAGGAGCACTGTCTCCCTCCCCACATTAGTCAGTTTAAAGCCCTCCTGATGAGGTTTCTGAGATTTTTGGCAAAAACATTTCTCCCATACGTTGTGAGGTGCAGCCCATCGCTTGCCAGAAGTCCATCTTCAAGAAACTGCAGTCCGTGATCTAAGAATCCAAACCGTTCCTGTTTACACCATTTGCGAAGCCAGCTGTTTACTTCCACTATTTTCCCCTCTCTCCCTGGGCCACGTCGTTCAACTGGGAGGACAGATGAGATCACAATTTGTGCATTTAATTGCTTCAATTTCCTGCCCAGAGCCTCGTAGTCTCTTTTGATCTTCTGGAGGCTGTAACGCTGGCTTGGATCCAGAATATTTTAAGGAGCTTTTCTGTAGCACTCAGGCTGATTCCAATCACAGTAAAAGATAGCATTGAAGAGGGATATATGCAGAGCTCAACTATGAGGCCTGCAGAGATCTATTGTGTGTGCATGCCAATTTGCGCCATCTCAACAGTGGGCACCCAGAAGGACTCCAGAAGCAAATATCAGAATGAGGGCACGTATACAGGTAAAGGTGGCCCTTCAAATAAACTATAGATATGTTTAATACCACTTGTTCAAAATCCATTCGTTATTGGCATGGCCCCTTACTTCACATGTGCCAAAACTGAATTCTAGCTTTGCATACTGGCTCCTGGATATTAAAAGATTCAGAAGGTACTTCTTCACTCAGCGCATAGTTAAACTATGGAACTCACTCCTGCAGGAGGCAGTGGTGGCCACTATCTGGGATGGCTTTAAAAAAGGATTAGACAAATTCATGGAGGTGAAGGTTATCAGTGACTCCTATCCATGATGGCTATACTCTGCCTCCTTTGGCTAAGCCTGCAACACTTCTGAATACTAGTAGCTGAGAAGTGCAGGAGGGGAAAGTGGTCTTGTGCTCAGGCTCTGCTTGTGGGTTTCCCACAGGTATCTGGTTGGCCACTCTGAGAACAGGAAGTTGGACTAGATGGGCCATTGGCCGGATCCAGCAGGCTCTTCTTATGTTCTTGCCTGGCCTCCATAGAATCATAGAGTTGGAAGGGATGCAAATGGTCATGTAGTTCAACACCCTGCAATTCAGGAATGCAATCAAACTTTTGTCCCGGCCAGATACCCCTACCCTCCAGCCCACAACTACACGGCAGATAAGCACTTTCACAACCTGCCCTCTCCTTGTGCCCTCAGGTGAAAAAGGTGAAATGGGAGAGCGAGGAATTTCTGGCCCGGAAGGCAAAGCGGGTGAACGAGGCCTTCGTGGTCATAGCGGCCAGAAAGGGCAAAAGGGCCACATTGGGCTACCAGGCAACTCCTGCAAGCAACATTACGTGGCCTTTTCTGTGGGCCGGCGGAAACCCCTCCACAGTTCTGACTACTACCAGCACGTCACTTTCGACACCGAGTTTGTCAACCTCTATAAACACTTCAACATGTTCACAGGGAAGTTCTTCTGCTATGTGCCGGGGATCTACTTCTTCATCCTCAATGTCCACACCTGGAACTACAAGGAAACCTATCTCCACATCATGAAGAACGACAACGAGGTGGTCATTCTCTACTCGCAGCCCAGCGAGCGGAGCATTATGCAGAGCCAGAGCCTCATGCTCGACCTCCATGAAGGGGATGAGGTTTGGGTGCGGATGTTCAAGCGGGAGAGGGAGAACGGCATCTACAGCGAGGAGTCGGACATCTACATCACCTTCAATGGCCATTTGATTAAGCCGGCCGTCGAGTAACAGGCTCCAGGACCACATAGGATAAGTGGTCCCACCTGTTCTCTCAAGGGGGCATGTCCATGAACTGCTTACCTACATGGGGTCCAAGAGAAATTTGGAAGGGTAACCCATGAACAAGTGCTTTGAGGCTTGCTGTTTCCACCAGGGCCTCATCTGCACCGTAAAGCAGTATCATATCACTTGAGACAGCCATGTCTTCTCCCAAGGAATCCTGGGAAGTGCAGTTTGTGGTTGTTGGGAGACCCCTATTTGCCTCCATTAGCTACAGCACCCAGACTTTTCAATTTAATTGTCCCACACTTGTTTGTATTTAATTGTCCCACACTTGTTTGTTCTTGTTCTTGTTCTGTTTGTTTTACATACCTTAAACTTTATGTAAAAACTTATTTTTTTAAAAAAAAAGAATAGGCGTTTCCTAACACCTTTCAGCCACTTTAGCAAAGTACACTTCCCATGACTCTTTGGGGGAAGACATGGCTGTTTAAAGTGCTTTGATACTGCTTTAAATGTATAATGCGGATGGGGCCTAGTACTGTGATAAACAGACCTGGGGCAGGATCTCTGGGCCTTAAATGCAGTGGTGGTGGGGAAATGACATTTGAGGTTGTGTTTTGCAGGCTCTCCCCCTTTAAGATGTGCTTAATGAGATTATGATGGGAACTTTAGGGTTTAGGCTGCTTGCTTAAGCACGTTCACTTAAGAATAAATTAACAATGCGTGAGCATCTGACTGAACTTCTTCACTGACTCAGGTGAGAGAAGTGTTTTGGAAAGGTTTCTGAAAAGTCAGAGGATGGGTGAGGTAAGAGGCTGGCGCTGGTCTTTCTGTGACAGGTCTGGAGAGCCTCAGTTTTGGGGGTCTGAATGCAGCCCTCCAGGCCTCTCTGCCTGGCCCTTGGCACCCTCTCCAACCCACACTCCTTCTCAGGCTACACCACACACTGGTCCTATCCCACCCCCTTCTTGTAGGCCTTATCCTGGCTGGGATATGTCCATGACCCTTGCCTCTCTCGCTTGCCTGCATGCATGGAGGACAGAGAGAGATGCGTATGAAGAAACCTATGGCAGTCATGTGGCTGCAGGGTAGCCTTTTCTTTATAAAAGGTAAGATTCACATCCATGGTTCCTCTCACTTTTGCCTCTGGCCCTGTCCGCCGCAGGCACACAATGCCTGGAAGGTTGCCCACAAGGGAATATGTGACTTGGGCTGGAAAAAAGATTCCCCAACTTCTACCACACCCAAAATTTGCTGCACTTCTTTGGAATTGCAATGAAGGAAGCCACAGGAACAACTGGACTGAAGCTTAGGGAACAGTAGAGCTATTGGGACGCTCCTTGAGGGTACAGGGATCGGGTGGGGGACTTCAGGTCTTTTCTTGACACATTAGCAGTGGGTTTGTTTTGCTTTAATTTGCTCTCTGGTGCTTCCCCAATTCTTCCACATAATTACTGTCCAGAAGGGGCTACGGTGCAACAAAAGTGGAAGGAAACAAAAACCAGAACATTTGTTGCAGGATTTTATCAGGAAGTTACGAGATACGAACTGGAAATGAAGCAGTGTGACAGTCCAAACCCTTTCTCAGCTGCAAAGGGTTTTGAGAATGGGATTGCATATGGCTGCCCTGATAGCATCATGAACACAAATCAGCATGAATGTGCAATAAAAAGGACATATGGAAGAGCCCATTTGGGCCATCTAGCTTAGTATACAGTAGTACCTTGGGTTACATACGCTTCAGGTTACACATGCTTCAGGTTACAGACTCCGCTAACCCAGAAATAGTACCTCGGGTTAAGAACTTTGCTTCAGGATGAGAACAGAAATCATGCTCCGGCAGCGTGGCAGCAGCAGGAGGCCCCATTATCTAAAGTGGTGCTTCAGGTTAAGAACAGTTTCAAGTTAAGAACGGACCTCCGGAACGAATTAAGTACTTAACCCGAGGTACCACTGTAGTCTGCACTGACTGGGAGGGACTCTCTGGGGCTGAGGACGAGGGACCCATCCAGAAAGACGGAGGCATTTGGGGCTGACAGGCAGTTGCCCTCTCACTCAGCTACATCTTCCCATCATCTGGCTGGAGACAACTTCATTTAGCCCCCGTTAATAGATGTTTTCTACACAAGCCCAGGCACGCTTTGCTAGCTAGCAACCACCCAGCACTGCCAATGTGCTTCTTTTATCAGGGAGCTTCCAGCAGCCCTTGTAAATCCAGAGTGTCCACAGATAAAACTGAAGAGGCTCCGTGAGCTGTTTGCACTTGGCCAAAGTCAAATGTTCTATGTAAGTGGGTCTAAAGCTGACCTTTATCGACATGCACATCAGCTGAGATGCCTCCTTTTCAGAAACCTGAGCTAGCAAGCCTTTTAGAGGAAAGGTTCCTGATTGACACATTGCTGTTGGCATGGCAATGAGCAGGGCGCAGGAGGCCTTCCTGCAAAAGGATCAAGCTGTTTAAATATTATTAGTACTAGTTAGAATAATGATTTGGTTTATTGCCCTAAGATGACCTATGATGGTTCATGAAAATGTAAAACACATTAAAAACAGTTTAAAACAACGTAAAGTCACAATATTAGGGTGGGTCCTAAAAATATACCTTTCACGGTTCACCTTCAACATTCTCCAAAGAGGTGAATCTTCAGCATTCTCCAAAGCTGTATAATGAAGGCACCAGATGCAACCCTGTGAGCGAGTTCAGCAGCTATGGGAGATGCCCTCTCCTGGGCCACCACCATGCAAACGTATGGGGCTGGTGCAACTACATGAGAAATGGTGCTGTTGGATCAGGCAGAGGATTAGCTAAGCCTTTGCCTGCTGACTACCAGATGTCCCATTGGCCATGCTGGCTGGAGCTGATGGGAGTTGTAGTCCCATAGGAAGCATTGATGGCCACCAGCTTGGATGGCTTTAAAAGATGATTTGACAGATTCATGAAAAAGAGTGTTATCAACGGCTACTAGCCTTGATGGCTATGTTTTGTCTCCACTGGTAGTGGCAGTAGTTTGATAGGAATCACAAGTAGGCAGAGCCCTGTTGTGCTCAGGTCCTTCTTGTGGGCTTCCCATAGGCTGTTGGCCACAGTGAGAGCAGGATATGAAGAAGAAGAAGAAGAAGAGTTTGGATTTGATATCCCGCCTTTCACTCCCTTTAAGGAGTCTCAAAGCGGCTAACATTCTCCTTTCCCTTCCTCCCCCACAACAAACACTCTGTGAAGTGAGTGGGGCTGAGAAACTTCAAAGAAGTGTGACTGGTCCAAGGTCACCCAGCAGCTGCATGTGGAGGAGCGGAGACTCAAACCCGGTTCCCCAGATTACGAGACTACCGCTCTTAACCACTACACCACACTGGCTCTAGATGGGCCATTGGCCTCATTCAGCAGGGCTCTTGCATTCAATATGACACAATTACGTTTTGCTGATTTGGCTCAGTGTAGCAGTGGGCTGCGATGATGGTGCCTCGCTAAGGACAACTTCCTTGGCAATCCACTGCATAGTCCCTGGGATTTTCTCCCTGGGTTTAGGATTGAAGCCTCGTCTATTCAGAAGTAAGCCCTATTGAACTCAATGGCACTCCTGGGGTTTAGGAGTGTAGGTCTTGTGGTGTTAGGGCTAAGGTGAGATTTGAACTGGGGAAGAGCTTCCTCTTTTGTGCAATTTGCACATCTGCACAGGTCATACTGCAATTCCCTCCCTCCTTCCTACTGGGGGGTGACACATATTTCAACTGACATGGGTGAAATGAAAGGAATTTGGGAGGTGATCGAGGGCAGCCCACGCACTTCGCCGTATCTCAGCGCTCCGGGAACACTTTGTGAGATTAACTTCTTCTAGAAGACAAATCAATAAATCACACCAGCAAAAGAAGCCAAGCCAAAGTACGTATCCAGCCCACCCCCTCCATCCCTTGGGTGGGTTTGCCAAGTGCGTCCAAATCTTTCAATAGACGTTAAACACTGATGGAGTAGCCACCCCTGGGCACCTTCCTCTTGGCAATGCTTACTGGAGCGCTGTGTGGAGATGTTATGAGGACCAGTGAGAAGGAGGAAAAATGAAACTGGTCTCTGGTCTTCAGCCAGCTTCCACCTACCTGCCTATGTTTACCTATAACCAGTCCAGTCCAGTTCCCAGAATGATTTAAACCATCAAGCCCTCTTCCCAGGAAACGCTGTGAGGGGAATAGGTGTCTCCTCACAACTCTTAGCATCCTTAACCAATTCCAGTTCCCAGGATGCTTTGCGGGGAAGCCATGACAGTTAAAGTGGCATCATAGTGCTTTCAATATATGGTGTGGCCTTTAAAAATATGACAGCAAATACCGTTCATATTTGCTTGCAAATTTCCATTCTAGGCTGAAAACGGACACAAGAACTGGACGTGATTTCTGGGAGGATTTCCAAATTCATTGCAATTTTCTGCCATTCTTTCTCCCTCCCTCTTTCCCTTCAGTCTTATCTTTCCTTTTTCAACGAGTAAGGAAACTCTTCTGAGGGCAGGAACAGCCGGATAAAAATTTCCGTTGATAAGGATGCCTGGCAACCAATCCCATTAATGGAGAGGCTTTAAGGCAAGCTGAATGGAGGCTTAATGAAGATGTTCAGGATACATTAATTCGCCAAGGTTTAAAGTGCATTGAAATAACTTAGTGGTTAAACAAATAGAAAGCACCTTTGAGTCATGTGGCTGTGGAAATTATACCATGCAGAAGCACAGCACTGGACTTCGTACAGAAACAGAGGAGTCCATTTCTGCTTTCTCCCCTTCCCATAGGGAAGAATCTATCCATTTTTGTTCTCTCAGTTTCTCATTTCCCTCCTGTCTTAAATTCAGTTATCCATATTTCTTCAGCAATTCACAAAGTTGTTTTCAAACAAATCCTCAAGAAAATTCTTCAGCACTGTAGTGTGGATTTCTCCTAATAAATAAAATTTTAATGTAGTTTTGACTACTGTACATTTTTTGCAAGCATTTATGTTATATAATGCATTCTTTTATTATGTTATT